GTTCAGATTGGAGCACTTCTGGTTTCGGGGCTTTGAAATGCATGTGCGTTCAGTATCTGTGTCGGAACAGTAGAAAGATGATAGGCAATTTCCTCCACAGTGTGGGAAACGAGGTTGAGGTCAGAGGTTGTTTGGTGGATGAAGCAGGGATCAAGCCAATATGTTTGTTAGCATCCAAGTACCGTTGCTTGGCAGGTGAGCCTCTGTTACCATGGGTTTGTTTGAAACCAAGTGTCAGGATTTTGAATTGTTAATGTTTCTCAATCTGGAAATGATGATAGTAAAAGCAAAAGTAATGACGTAGTATGTATGTATGGATTAGACTAATAAAATTTCACGAACAAAGAACTATCTGAGAAAATGGCTTTGGGAGGCTAGCACAGACAGGAACTTTGTTTATCAGGGTCTGGCATACACAAGGGCACTCTTTTTTTCATCTGTGGCTACTCAATCCGAAACTCTGTACCCCTCCCTGACCACACTTTGAGTTTCTGGCCAAGCTTCTGTCTTGCTCATTTAACTAGTATGCCTTAACCTCTTCTCATTCACTCTGACTCCTATAGTTTGCCTTTTCAAGATACTTCGTACTTCCCTGTGACTTGGCTTCCACCGCGTCACGGACATCTGTTTATTTCCTTTCCTTGTTCCCACAGAGCTCTCAATGTTATCTATTGGTCTCCTCCCCGACCCTGGTCATGTGCTTCTGGGAATGGTGGATCTTGAACTCTAAGGATAAAATTATAAGCATTATCTTAAGCAAATTAGTCCTGTACCTTTGCCATCAGTTGACTGGTTTGGTCAAGAAAACACTACTGGAATTCCAGGAGAGGCTGCTGGGAACAGTTTTCTCTTGTCCAAGAAAACATTGTAAGGAAAGGTTGAGAATGGCAGTGCCATTGTGGTGGGTTTTGTAAGAAATTACAGGATGCTAACATTTCCTTTTACTGGTACTTACCTTAACTATGGCCGACCCTACTCTCCATCACTATGGCATTGTTGACAGTTACTCAGACGGGCCATGATGCTACTTGCCACCAAAACTTTGCCCAAGCTGTTCTCTCTGTCTCAAATGCATCCCTCACAGGTCCTCACCTGGCTGATTCTTTGTCCTTGTAGGCTCAGCTCAGCTTTCCTTAGGAATCTGTTTGAATCCCCTGGACTCCATCTGACGCACTCATCAAAGCTTCCATGGTGTGCTCTGTGCTGTCCCTTCACAGTAAGTTTGTCTTGGTGTATGCTCTGTGCTGCTAACGTTATTATCAAACACTCTGCGTCTTGTTCTCTGATGGATTTTAAGTCCTTAGAAGATAAAGAGTAAAGCGTAACTGAACCTTCTTTGCCTTTTGGCACTTGGAAGAGAGGAAAGAAGAATAGCAACATAGACTTTTCCCTCCACATGTTCCTTGCATTGCATGTCTGCCTGCCATGGTTTCTCATCATGCATTACAATAGTGCTCTAAGTCACTCAAAAGCTGATAAACTCTTTAACTGTGATAGCATATATGTTGTGAGACATTTTTCTGAAGTGCCTTGACATTCCCACATACAACCACAGCTGTATCTCAAGCACAGCACTGGAATGACCTCTATATAATTGACCCACAGCATAACCACAGTGGGGTGACAAGGGCTTCATGTGTAATGAGAGCATAAGAAAGAACCTGGTTAGCTTGAAACCATCCATATGAAGGGTTCACTGTGAGCAAACACTACTGTCCCTGCTGGTGTGGGGCAGAGTCCTGTGCATCTTGCAGGTGTTATAGCAATAGATCACAGGCCAGGCATAGTGGGATAAATTAAGATGAGGAAGAGACCTTTTTCATTTATCTTCTGCATGTTTTGAGTCTCAGTTTTACTATCTGTAAAATGCCTGATGACACCATCTGTAACTTACGAAATCGTAAACATTATTTTGTTAAGTAGTGAAAATAACATATGGGTACAATAAGACGTTCGTGACTCTCCTTAAAGAACAAACAACTTGAGTAGGAGCTTGGTGAACCATGAGAACTCAAAGTTATTAAGTGACCCCGGGAGTTAAAGAAACTTGGTTACTGGAAACAAGGTAATTTAGCTGTCTCCTATAGATGGAATTTTTATTAAACATACAGAGAGATGCAATGCAACTCGACCAAGTTAGCAAAGTACTTTTGGTGTGAGCTCTAAGATGCATTTGGCAGGAAAGAGGCCACGGGGACTCTTGGAAGGTCAAGCTGCTTGGGGTCTCTGAAGCTTTAGCTACTGTGACAGTTGTTTAGGTTAGATTTAAGGAGTGCATCTTCCTAAACCCAAGGTATCATTCTGCTGGGGATTGTGTGGAGACAATCTATCAGTTTAAGTTTACTCTCTGTCCAGTGAAAGCCCCTGGGCTGTTATCTTTCCCGGAAACATTGAAATGTGAAAGTTCTTAGACATAAACCAGTAAGGAAGTAATGAAACTGTTTTCAGGAAAGCCAATTGGATTTGAAGCTAATACAGTTCTCAGGGAAAGGCTGGCAGAAGATACATGGCTCTGGGCTCTGCTTCTGAATGCCTCATCCAGAGGATCTTGTAGGGCCCTGAGGTGGACGGTCGCCCCCAGGCTTGGAGCCAGACGGTGAGTTACAAGATCTCGGCTCAGTCACTCATTGTCAGTAGAGAAGTGAAGGAAACCCTGCAGTCTCAGCTTCTCTGCCTGTGAAGTGAGCATATTTGTTTTAGTCCTGAGGTTCCTTGTGTGTTCTGTAGGAAGATTGAGGAAATTATGTACGCAAAAGTGCTTACAGATGTCAAGGTTCAGAGGCTGAGGATATGGTTGAGTGGTAGAGAACTCCCTTAGCATGTACAAGGTCCTGGATTTTATATTCAGCACTGGGCTAAAAGAAAGAAGAAAAAGGGGGTTGGGTAAGAAAAGAATAAATAAAATAAATAAAAATAAAAATTAAAAGAATAGAAATCAAGACTAACTTTGTAGTCAGTATACGTAGCGTATCTATAAAATGAGAAAAAAAGGAGAGGTACAGACTTATATTCACATGCAAACTGTGTCTGACAGAGGAAGAAACACCTTACTTTCTCCTTGTCTTGTGAAACTAAAGCATTTCTATGCATGTTTGTATGTGAACTACAAGTGGATAAAAAGAATGACATGAATAAATATGATTTTATACAACAGTGTAGAGGCAGAAGACAATGACTTTGTGAACATAAATGCAAACACGGCAAGAACTCAGTAAGATTCGACACCCACCTGCCCAGTATTTGCTGGGTTGGCCCTCTGGTTCTCCTATCACAATAGAGCATTTGAAGGATATCATCTCCAAGGATGAAGCTTCATGTGGACTTGCTTTCTGAGACTGTGTCAAATTTATTGAAACTGCCTTATTCACAGGGGATTACAATCAGAAGACCAAGGAAAACGGCATTTTACATATTTCTAATTTTTGCTTGCAATTCACCCACAAGATGCACTGTTTGAGAATAATGCGCACCAAGCACAGGGTTCCTTTCGAATGATCAGTGGTAAGAGAGAGCTAAAATCCAGCAAGATTGTGTTCAGTAATAAGGAAAGAACTTTCAGCTGGTTTTTAAAGATTAATTTGTTAATTAGGTGAACATCTGGGTTTTGGTTCATCACTTCCCTTGGAAACCTTGATTAATTTATGAGATTTTCATCCCCATTTGCTAAAAAAAGCAGCGAGTCGTCCGGCGTTCCACACCAATGAAGGCAAAAGTTAATTGGATTCCGAGATCTTTCTCATTTCCCCCCTCAGCAGCTCCTTGCTGCTGCTTCGAGTGGAACCAGGCGCTAAAGGATTCTGTCTATTTGTGTGTGTGTGAGAGAGATACAGAAATGAGAGGAATTACAAGTGATTGGAAAGTGAGTTTGAAAAAAATATTATTTGGTATTTCATTTGGTTTGGGTGGGAAAGTCAGGAAGGGTGAACAGAAAAGCTAACCCCGGAACTAGTAAGCATATTGGCTTGCTGCACACTTTGAGTTGAGGATCGTGCTTATGTGCTAGAGAAAGGGCTGTTTGAGGGGTATTTTTTTGTGGATTGAAGTGTTTAGGGTTTGGAAAGAGTAAGTCAGAAATGCAGCCGGAGCTCACAGTCTGCACTGCTAATGAGAGATGGGTCCACAGATAACAAGTCCTCCATCTCCCCCGCAACCCCTCGAAGAGCATGGCGTGGGTAAGAGACAGAGGAGGGAAGGCAGAGGTGGCTAGAGCTGACTGCCGATGTGGACAACGGCTCAAGGCTTTGAAGAAATCACAGGCAGTGAAAGATGGCCATCACGAGACACTCGTACGTTTGTCTCACATAGACAGCACTCACGAGAAGGAGAATTCATTGTACCTGCTGTATCCACTATTCCACTTTCTCTCATTGTCTTTCTCTGGTCTGTTTTTCTTCACAGTTTTATTTTTTTGAGTTACGTTTGACATTGGAATCTACACACTTATATGAGCCCATTGCTGAGACTTGAAGGAATATGGTACCCGTAGGAATAACGCAGGGAAATGCTGACAGGTTGTTCCTGAAAGCTGCAAGGATTTTAATTACACGGGAGCCAGTGTTCAGCAGCCTCAGATATATGCATATCATTATGATGACCATAATCTCGTTTTCTAATCAGACAGAGTAGTTCAGGTTTTTATGAAGTACAGAAGAAAGTATTTGTGGTAGCAAGGATTGACTTTTTCATCAGGAAGATCTGTGAGCGCAGTGGAGTTAGAAGACAGAAGGAGCCATAAGTCTCAGCACGATTTCGCTTGTACCATATACAGTCATGAAAATATGGGACAGGAAAAACATAGTGGTTCACTTCAAATATTTTTAAAAAATAAATTCTATTAAAATGTTTTTTCTGAATAAAATAAAAAAGGAATAGGTTTGGATTTTTAATAACTTTTCATAATGTCTGTTTTTATTTATATAATGGAAAATAAGAATAAAATATCTTAATTCTTCAATCTGGCTTAAAAGTAAGACTTTACAATCTAAAGAATCGGGGCTATGTAAAAGCAAACAGAATACTTTATTTCAACTTTTTCTTTGAACAAAAAGAAAATGATACTTCAACAAACCATTTTCTTACACATTTTGTCAGTCTTTCTGAAAACACCGTTGATACCGAAGTTCACTGAAAGCCAAGGAGAAGGCACAGTCTTACTTTTGTGTTAAGCATCCTTTTTTGTGACACAAATAACAAGAAATCAACTTGGGACAAAAAAGGGGGATTATTTTCATAGCAATAATAGACACTTAATACAACAAAGCTTATCGCGAACGTCTACCAAGGTGAAGCCTCGGAGTTTGTAGGTGACACAGGGCAATGCGCTGATCAGAGCGGAGCATGAGTGAGCCCCAGTTGGGATGCTTGAAACCGGAGAGCTTCGTTTTCTTCTTCCTCCCAATCTGGATGATGAACTGACCACGGAGGAATATTCCCACAGTGTTCCTCTGTCACACAGTCCATTGCGCATGTCAAGAAAACCGCCCTTCAGTCTGTACAGGTGCCTCTACTCTGCATTTAGATGTAACTGAGGGTTTTATTTTTCAGATTCCAGATGTTTCCTTTCAAAATGTTTCTTCGTGATTTCACTCCAATATACTATGTTGCCCATGGAGTCTCACCTGGCAAAGAGATACATGAAACACGTTTAAGTGTTCTGTAGATCTCTAAGTTTATGGGTAAAAGAACCTTAACTACTTTTCGTAGCTGTGAAGATGAAGAATATGAGTGTTTTGAGCTGATTCGAGAAAAACTATACTTATTGATCAATAGAACAAAGAGTAAACGACCCTCTTGTGGAAAATTACATTTTGGGACTCAAAGTTTACTGATCTACATGTCTTGTTTTCAAGATAATGATAACCATGTGAGTAACCAACCACATTTTGGTTGGGTTTAAGGTTCACTCCAATGAGATAAAACCCTTACCTAATGCTACTGAAGTGGCCAAGAATCTGAGACTAGATAGGTAACGGACTAAGATGAAAACCTACTTTGTTAAACGAACACAGCAACGAAATGAATCCTAATGATGTATTGCTATATCCATACTCCCGAGCATTGCTCAACCCTTATCAGAGACGCTTCCTCTTGCAGTAGACGGTATTGACAAAGAGATCCACAACTGGACATTACACTCTGAGAACTCAGCCCTACGTGGGATGCCTTTATCAAACTCCTCCTCTCCAGGCGCAGGGAACCTTGTTAAAGTGGGCACACAAGGATTCTAAGTGCCAGAAGTGGTAGAGGATTCGAGGGAGACAGCGTCTTCCAGATACAACAGGACTGATGCACATTGGAACTCACAGAGTCTGGGACAACAGGCACAGTTCTGCACAGGCTCCAACCAGATGAAATCCCAGCACTGAGCAGAGGGAGTAAATACAAAGTTCCTCCTCTAACCACAAAGCTATTTGCAATTGATACCAGCTGGGAAAGGGAAACACAGTTTTCTGCAAAGAAGTGTCACTAGTTATACTAACCATACCCAGGGTAGGCCACAGACCCAGGAGTAGTTGTTCAACAAAAAACATACTACACACACTACTTTTTCTTTTTTTCTTTCTTTCTTTCTTCTCTCTTTCTTTCTTTCTTTCTTTTGATTTTTGTTTTGATACTTTATTTATTTATTTGGTCTTATTGATTTTTCATCTTTTTTTCTTATTTTTTCATATTTTCTTATTGTCTGTTTTGATTTTTTTTTCAGAGAAAGAAAGAATATGGATTGGGTATGTAGAGAGGTGGACAGAATCTAGAAGTTAGAAAAAAATCAAATCAAAATATATTGTGCAAAATATTGAACAAAAATCCTAAAAAGATACTCACAACCAACAATGGGTTCAAAAACCACCAGGTCCAGATCATTTAACAGTATCAATAAACAGTGTTTCATTAAATGGCTCTGGGTTCAACAAGCAAATCATTGAGCTGAGTACTAGCCTATGAACAAAGACCACTTTACCGATTTATTAAATGGGAATTCAAGTTTCTAACAGTCACATGTACTCAAGAAAACAGTCTAAGGATCAAAGAATACAATTACTTAGCCAGCTTCCTTACCTCAGAGAAGACTCTAACTAAAGGCTGGAGAAGCAGTAAGTAGAAATTCCTCCCTTAGAGCTAGCTCATTTGCTTTGAGAATGGGGTGAGGCAACAACCTCCTACACTGCTCACTACTCGGGAAATTGATCTTTAAACTTAACAGGACATAGAGAAAATTATAAGCAGTCAGGAAACAAAAAACCATCTCATCTACAGCCAACATTTATTCTTTGAAAGAATGTGTATTTTGCGAAAGATTTTTTTTTGTTAAGCAAAAAGGAGTCTACAAAATGATGAAACTCTTCCAAGACAGAGCATTCCTTAACTCTCCTCACTGGGAGACAGCAAAGACCCTAGAAATACTCGTGGATTTATGGAAGTAAGTACAAAACAATTTTTGATGAAAAAAAACCACAAACTATTCTATTTAAATTAAAAAAATTAGAATAGGTAGAAAAAAATCTGTGTTAAAAACAAAATCTTTGAAATGTCGGCTTCTTGACTGTATAAGTTGAAAGGGATAATTTATTATCTAGTGTAGTAGAGGTGCTGTTCATGGTTTTTAAAAAGAAAGCGTAGATGGGGAGATAGTGTTAATGTCTGAAAAAGAGGGCAAACTCAAAGGTAAAGGGGAGAGAAAGCCTCTGGAAGACACACAGAGAACCAAACAGATGAACAAGTCTCAGGAAGATAGGATGCTGTGAGGGGGTCTGTGAGCAGGGTTGGGGGGCCGGGTGGGGGCGGGTGGGGGCTGAGCATAAGGATTGGAGAGTAGGAGGAGCTAACCTTCTAGGGTGACTGCCTATAATAGCCTCATGTCCTCAGTGGCATTTTACAAATAGTTCTTTGCTTGGGAAACCATTTCCGCTTTGTTTTAAACCATCGAAGATTGTTTCTGAGGTAAACTTTTTTGGGACCAAGAATTTTTAAATATTTTGCTCATTTCAGACAGATATCTATTTACAGAGAACAGTCTTTAAAACTTTTTTAAAAAAAGAAATTCATTTTTTATATGAAAATTATTCTTTTACTTTATTCCGCATTCTGAAGTTGCACCTGCTATATTCACAACTTTAAATTTATTTCTGTCTTAGGACCCTTTCTTAAAAGACAAACCTTGAGTCTTCATTGGTTTGTTAGCATTCTGGTAGCAGAAGTTGATTTTTAGAACTTGTAGAACACAGGGCATATAGAAAAACAACTGACTTTAAATAGAGATTGCAAAAATTATCATAAAATGTTTTATATGTGTGTACATGTGTGCACATTACACGTGAGTGAGTGTTTGTGTGTGTACGTGTGTGTGTGTGTGTGTGTGTGTGTCTGCGTGTGTGTGCAAGTGGAAAGGTCACCACCAGGTGTCTTGCTCAGTTGCTTTTCACCTCATTTATTTGTCTGTTTGTTGGAGACATGTTCCCCTGAACCTGGAGCTTGCTAGTTGGCTAGACTGGGCCACTCTGGTTCCCAGCGCCAAAGTTTCAGGTGTTTGCTGCTTTATGGGGCTTTTTATGTGGATTCCAAACTCAAGTCCTTACTCTTTCATGGCAAGTACTTTATAAATTGAACCCTTTCCCCAGCTCCAGGGTAATTCTTATTTTTATTTATTTATTTATTTATTTATTTATTTTTTACTGGATTCGATCCTATACAGCAAACATAGTCTCAGAAATAGTGATATATTGTGCAAGGTATACCTGGGCCAGAATATTACTTTGTACCCATAACTATGCACGACTAATATGTATCAATCAAAGAAGAAAAGAGAAAAAAATGAAGGGAGAACCACTCCCCTGTCTCCCGCTCCAGAAAGTAAAGAGGCCAGCTGTTCGTTTAGTTTTCTTTTTCAAAAAATCATATTATCGTGTCTCCTTCTTGGACTGTAATCCTTGCAATAGATTGCTTCAAGCCGAAATGTTTTTAAAATTTCAAACCAGAAGTTCTTGGTTCCATTAGGAATTACTTTTCTCTACCTGTCTTTGAGAGCGTTTTCTCTGATGGGGCTCTACCTGTCTTTGAGAGCATTTTCTCTGACGGGGCTCTCGGGTGGTTTTTGTCACGTACTTAGTCCTAAAACCACCGCATTGTCCCTGGCTACAGGTTTTCTCCATTAGATGATTCTCAGTGCACTCCTGAGCAGTTATTTTCAATGTTTGCCCAGAAGTAAGCAGGAATTACTTTGTTGGGGCTGCTCCATTTGCCGCAAGGGAATGGTTATTGATGTTCTTTTCAAAGTCAACAAATGACAGCAAAAGGAATAGCAGAAGGGGAATGTGGCAGTTAGGCCTGCAGGCAGCTACATACACAAAAAAACAGAAGTTGGTTTCATTATTTCCAGACTGTGGGCTTAGCTTCTCCATGGCAAAGAAGAGACAGATCTTGTAACAGCCTTGAGCTTAACTAGGTAAGTGGTTTGATGCCTCTGGCCTCAACACAGGTTTTGTCCTTGGAGAGACCAGTTTTATGCAGCTGGAAATAGTCGGCCTTGAATGGAAACCTGTTGGGCCTTTGATGCTGACTGAGCCATTCTCCCCTGGTAGCCTTCTTGCCTGCCCTGATAATTAGTGGCAGGACATTGTGGCTCTAAAGTTGCTATGGTCACTGGAAGATCATGAGGATAATTAAGGCTGTTTGAGCACTGGCCTGATTGGGCCTTTCACATCCTGATCTGGATTCCTTAGAGACACATTGATAAGGAGAAACACATGCAGCAGACAGGAGATTCCAGAGTTCTGCCTCTTGTCCAACTGCCCACCTGCATGGCTCTAACATGGTATTTCTATACTTGCCTGTTTCATTTTTCAAAACTAGTTTCACATGAGGATGTATCTTGAAGACTTTCATATGTTTTGAAGCTATAGTTTCCTCTTTTAATATTTTGGGGGCTTCCAGAAATGTAGCCCCTGGCCTCTGAGAGCCTCCATTACACCCAGCAAACGCAGACTCATACTCACTCTGTGTCGTCTTGCTGTTGTGCAGGGATGTGCTGGATGACTTCATAAATTGTTCCGTGAAAATCTTGCCCGGTCACACCATCAGAGGCAGGGGCAGACCTACTTGACATCTAGAAAACACAGCACATTAAAAGACAAAACTTAGTCCAAGATTAGCTGGAAAAAAGCAGCAGCTTGAGAGATGGAGAACAGATGCTCGACACCTCCGGAAGGCTACTTCCTCCTTTCTAGCCTCCTGAACTCACTCTATGTTATTTCAGGAATAGCTTGACAACCACTTAATTCATCATTTAAGAAAAAAAAATATGGAAAATATTGGGCAGAAAACAATAGGATGAAAAGTAGCAAAGGGGGACATTAAAACAAGCCCAAACAACCACAAACAACAGCTTACTAGCTTAGAACCAGAAAGCACATATAAAACATTGTATCTTAGCTGCTCTTTTGGATACTTTTTGCCAATTACACAAGCCAGGATGGCTTTTTAGAAAGGATAATGCGAAGCCCAAAGCCCAAAGTCCTCATCGTATTGCAAGTGAGTAAAAGAGCAAAGAGGGATGCTTTGGTCTTACTGTGAGGATGGCTCTGGAGACTACAGGCTTAACTGAACAAGGAAAGGATGGAGTGTATTTATCTGGTAAAAATAAAGTCATCACAAGCTTTGTTGAAACCTGTGTTTCCTACGCTCTCCCCAGTACTTCATAGTTCATAATTTCTTTTTTTCGATAAACATTGTCTTCCAGCTTGTTGTCTGTCTGATCTTCCTTCCCACTCGCCCTATTTTAATCATGCTTCTCTCTACCTGCAGTCCTTCCTGTTTATTCAGCACCCCTCCCCCGGTGAAGGGTTTGCCCTGGGTAACGCTGAGGCATGTTTTCTGCATTGGGAGGCCTTAGTGCTCCATGGTTTTGGAAACTGTTTCCATTTCTCTTACTAACATTCTCAAGGGAAGCACTATGGCCACGGACTGTGACTTCTCCAGGCATTTTGGGTTGAAATTTCCATAGAATTTATCATTGAGATTGAATCTGCATTTTCCTTGGCATGAAGGTGGTCAGGAGCTATGGTAGATGTATGCTAATATATACGATCTAATATTGAACTATCAAATGGCAGCACATTTGTTAATGTTATGCATTTGTCCTCTGTCCAACTCCCAGAAGAGGTGCTAAATGGATAACAAAATGCACAAACAGGTAAAGGGAGAGCAATCCATTTTACATGTACTACAATAACCAAAGAGATTGTTTTGATTTTTAAGATGCAAATAAATTAGTAATTAAATTTATTTCCCCTCTTAATGACACTTTTGAGAATTTTTATTTTATTAATAGTTGTTTTCCTCTTATGTTCATTGCTTTGGGCTGTCCATTTTCTTGTGTAAATGGCATCCTGGCTTCTTCCCACTCAGCTCATCCCCGAATATCCCTGTCTTCATTCTCCTCCTTCGGCTGTTCGTCCTGGTTTCTCACCTCATCCTCAAAGCACCTGACATGGCCAATGAAGGAGGTCAGAAGAATTCTCACACATTTCTGATTCAAGAATTTGCATGGTTCCAAATGATGTTATGCTATGTGTTATAGAATCAAGCAACGCTTCTGAGATTCGACTCAAAGGTATGCTTGCCTGCTTCAAGTCTGCGGACACTAACGTACTCGGGGTCAGCAGGGGGCTTCAATTAGTGCTCCAGTCTGTGTACAATCAACACCCCGTCCTTAGTATTGATCACCATTCACTCCTTTATAATGATCCATTAGGGATATATGTATGATCTTTTTTTAAATAAAGAAATTCTATGTTTCAAAACTCAATATGTCCTTTTACCTCTTCAGTCTCCTGCTCTAAGCTTTGAAGCTACACCTTAGAAAGGATTTGTCACAGCACCATGAAAGTCCTTTTAGCTAATGGATCAATCACATATGTATTTTGTCTTTTTTGGTTCTGGAGGTGTGGAGTGACACCATCCTTTCTAAGACTGAAGGGATCACTGGTGCGCTGTTGTCAGGTGTGTCTCCTCTTCTTCTATGGCAGTATGGGAGCTACTTACTCACCCTCAGGAGGGTGAAATCTAATCAACCCCTCTCCATTACTCATGGGACATTTCTGAAATAAAGTCTGTAGCCAGAAAACTCACTGGATGAAGCACACGGAGTGATAGAATGCTTAGAACAAAGGGGCTATTTCCAAATGGCAAATAGTTCTCTTCTAAAAAAAATGGAAGAAAGAAGAAGCCAGAAGCGAGCAATCCATTTCTGGTTCCATTCATAAGTGGACTATTACAGAGGAATGAGGAGACAGAGGAAAAAACGGTCCTTTACAAATCTATGAGTGCTAAGAGTTCAGGGGCACATTCTGTTTGAAACTGATTATCTACAATTTTTTAAAGAGACTGACTGAAAACAAATGGTTTCAACTATAAAAGCCCCTGCCTTTTTTTTTTCTTTTTAAAGGACTGGACCTTTAGGGTAATAATAAAAATGTATACCTGTATATTACTAGGTTTGTATTACATGATAACTCCCTTATGACAAGCAAGTAGCTTCAAGGATAGGATCGAATGTCTCTGAAAAGTTATTGAGGTTATGAGGCAGAAAGGGAGGGAGGGAGTTCTGCAAAGTGAAGGGCTGAGATCACTAGGCAACATGGATAACTTACGCCAGGGTCTCTGGGTTCTCCATTCTTCTTTTTTTCTATATATTCAACCTAGCTAATTCTCTATTCATAGACTATACCAGGAAAAGAGCGCTTATCCTTATTTCTGACAGCTTTACTGTCTCTATAAGAGAAGAAAAATGAGGAAAATGCTTTAGCTCCCCAAATCTCACTGTCCAGTGAATCAACACTGTGGAGTGCAGTGAGGGCTAATGAAGCCATGGACACCACTGCCCTAGTTCATAAATGAATGGTCTGTTTAATCAGCTACTAGGAAAACCAACCCTGGGAACACCAGTAGCATCCGGAAAAGCCACAAACTCGTATATCCCGAAGTCACCCAGGGCATCTTCATGGCCTGAAAGGAAAAAAAAAAAAACACAGACACAAGTTACAGAAGCAAAGCTTTCCTCTGATAGTTAAGTTTTCATGCATTTACTTTTGTTTCTTAGGAATATTCAAAGAACGTATCTTTATTGCCTGCTTCTTTAAGTGATATTTGCATGAAACCATTGAATATATCCTAGTCCCACATGGTCATATTGGCATTGGATGGTTTGGGGAATAAGTCCTTAAGAGAAAAAAATTAAACTGAACTTGACCATTTGTCCCCAAAGTCTCCTGTGGGAATATTGTATTACATGCTCAAATACACATATGTGGACAAGATTGGGTATTCAAGAACACTAAGGTCTTAGCCTAGAGGTCACAGCAACCTTTGATCCACCCGTAATATCTACTGAGCTTCAATAGATCTGACAGAGAACATTACAAGAGAGTGACTATCACCAGTAGCTACACTGACTCGAAAAAAAACAGTTGCTATACGATAGGGATATTGCCCAGCTTTTACCTCAGAAATAAAGAAGCAAGAGGTGGTTGAGAGGAGTGAGATGGTCTCCCTTCCTCTCGTGACAGTCAATTACTATAAGTGAGCAAAGACTAGCTAACAGTCACCTTGGGCTCTTCATAGCATCTTATTTTACTTCTCATAGCAGCCCCAGGAGGAAGTTTTTATCTCTGTTAAATAGATAAGGAATTTAAGGCCAAGGGTATATGTCAGATATAGAGAACTGAAACCTGGCTCTCAGTGACACCACCATCCAAGCATAAGCTCCATTGTTAACTAAGAACAGCTCAGTGTAGAGTCAACAATGAAGATTGAGAGGTCAGCTGGGGACAAAGGAGCAGCCAGGCCTGACCATACCTCTGTTTCTTCCTCTCTGCCAGCATTGCATGTCCTCCAGAAGCTACAAAAGTCCCCCTTTGCTCTTACAGACCAATGGTAAGAGGGCTAATGAGTGAGAATAGAGCAGAATCCAACAGCTTCATCTCTGATCTTTCTTTGTCTTGTCTGTGATTGAGTGGAGAGTCCTCCCCTAGCTTACCTTACAGACCTGTGTAGCATACGTAAAACCACCACAGAGGCAGCATTTTGTGAAGGGAAGACTCTGAACAATGTAGGGATTGTGGTTGTGCTAATATCAGCTTCTATTCATTCTATTACACTGAGAGAGACAGCTATAAATATCAGCAGAAAACATGGACAACTACTAGACACCACTGTGGACAACACTCCTCTCCAGTCTGGCCATTACCTGAAAATGTTTGAGCTTTTCTGTATTCTGACTCGGGTCTGAAAAGACAAGCATATGCATAAATCAAGGGTTAGAATTGAGGAGAAATTTTTAAAAAGTTATTTCATAGACGCGTATACATTACCTGCCTTCTAGCTTCTGCCTTATAGCTGGAAAAAGAAAGGGAAAAACTCAGTAAGGTATTTTTTAGAATGTTTCTAAAATGTATTTTTTTTTTTACTTTTTTAAACCTACCTTTGTAAGGTTGATATTTTTTCCACAGAAAAAGAAGACACATGGATATAATCAAAAACAGCGATATTCCAGTTATACTTGCTAATGGGGACAGTGATTTTCCCCTTTGTGCAAGCTTCTCCAATCCTAAAAAAAAAGCAATAAATTACTATATAACCTGAATTGTTTAAGGTTATTCTCTACTTAAATTGACACCGTTGCCTATCCTTCTCTTTTTCTCTCCTTCATTCCCCAATGAGGGGTTACATTGGTTTAAAACTTAAACCCCAAACTTCCTGGGGATATTTGTGATTGGAAATGTGGCTGGTTGCCTGGGAAATACTGACACGATGTACTAGCCATAGCCATAGGAAATTGCTCCTGTCCTTCATTTCCCCGGTGTCTACCACTTTCCCATCAGTGTTTCAGCTCTTTGTCCCTACATGATCAGATGCAGGATGCCCTCTGTCCTCCATCCTTGCTGTTTTAGCAAGATTCAAGGGTGTGACCCTTTCAGAGACATCATAGCATATATTCACGGATATGAGAGGAAGAGTACTTATCTCAAATACACCTCACTACTTTTTTTAAAAAACAATCAAGAAATACCAATATCTCAAATAACATGTTCATACAAATCTCAGTAAAATATCTAAAGTCAAGCCAGATGGTAAAAGTACAAACTTGAAGACTTACCCAAATTTGATACTAGAACCCACTGCGGAAGGAGAAACGTGTCTCCTGATAATTTTTTTCTGGCCTTCACAAGTGCATTGTGAAACATCGTGCACACACACACACACACGCATGCGTGTGCACGAAAGACAATGTAAATGTAAGATCCCACCTTGCAACTAAAAGTCACTTTATTTTGTGGAGCATTCCTTTTATTACTAGAACTGTATTGTGTATGGCGCTAGTAGCTGTAATACATATGCTGAGTGCTTACAGTGTACCAAGCTCTGTGCTAAGGATACATGGCCTGTAGTAACTGCTGAATTTCCTGAGCTATCTTATTAGAGAGCAATTATATTATTATCTCTTCTTGATGAGGAAGCTGAGGCTTACAACTCATTTAGGTTATGGTGGTGGGGATAATTCCAGGCTTTTAATATTTCATTCTGCCTCCCTCCAATGCTGTTTATACAACGTATTGACTACGGTTATGTTAATACCAGCCCTGGACTATGATATGATAAGTTATATATTAACCTGTAAAGAAGGAAGTAGTTGTAATCTTTAACATGCAGCTCTGATATCAGTGTGCAAATGAGTCGTGGCAATCGCTTGTCTACTCAGACTGATGTGTCCTGAAATCATAATTCAAAAACTGTAATACCACTTCCATGTTAGACATAGAATCTGTGTGTAGTCAGTAACATAGTGGCTACTCGGTTCTTCAAGAAATGACTAGCCAGCATCCTCTTTCTCTTCCTCCATAAAGGTTCTGTTAGTGCCCCCAGGAGTTAAAATGGTCAGAGCCCTTATTCACCTCCTTTTCTCAATACAGGGTTATCCAAGACATCTCAGTTTTACCACATAGAATACTATCATTTACAAATGTCTTATCTTTTCCTGCTGTAGCGTAGCTTGTATATATAGCAAGCTGTAGCAGACAGGTTATGAAGCCCATGCTATCCCTTCTTATCTAATCGTACTCTGCTGTTCTCATATCCTCTTCAGGTCTGTGAGAAAAGGGTGTTTTTAATTATGAAAAATTCTGTGTCATTTTAGGGTCACTGTGATTCTGTTAACTATCCACCAATGTTCATATAAATACCTGTTTGTTCATCCATGATGCAAACAATTTCTCTCCTGAATTAGATCTTAATCAAACATTTATTTGAAGTCTATTTTGGCCACATTATGGCCAAATGTCACCATAGGTTGACTACAGATACAAGAACTCACCAAAATACTCAAAAACCATTATGTTGTAAGGGACAATCTCTTTCCAAGAGACATTTTCTCCCTTTGGTTGGTGCCAAAGTCCTAACCTCTTCCTTCTTTTGGCATGGACTCTTGGAAAATTCCAATTAAAAAATTATTATTTTTATTTGTGTGTGTATGCATGTGTGTGTGTGTGTGTGTGTGTGTGTGTGAAAGTGTATATTTCACTTCTCCACTTCTGACCTATGAAGGCCAGTAAAGGGTATCAAATCCCCTGAAGTAAGAGCTACAGACAGTTGTGAGCTATATGATCTGAATTTGGGTCCTCTGAAAAAACAGTAAGTGTTCTTAACAGCCAAACCACCTCTCCAGCCCCAGAAAATTCCAAGTCTTAACACCAAACTTCATATCCCTCAACCCTTTCACCTCACAATAGCCATCCTGCTAAAATTCAGAACATTTAAAAATAATCAGGTGCTAATTTATTTTACTATGTAGAAAAACATTTTAGTATAGTCTTGGCTGTTTTACTTTTTAATTTTATTTTTCTAAAATTAAAAACATGCCAACGGTGTCTATGTCAGAGTGCTTCTCTTTCCTATGGTGGATCCACTCTGGCATCTATCATTGACAGATACATCTATGATTCTTAAACCTGGTAACAGACTTAGCATTCAATCGTTGGTGGTCTTACTCTAAGATACATAAGACACACTTTCTCCTATCCTTCATTTTTAACTTTCTCCCACTTGGACAAGTACTTAAGTAATGAAATTTTTCAATTCTCTCCCGCAGAGGTCACATCCTTCCCGTTCCCCATCCTTTCTTCTATCCGTAGATTCCTTCTTTATCATCCTCTCACTCCTCCAATTGGCTTCTATTATTTTGCAACCACAGACCCACCTTGTTAGTGATCAGTCCCTGTCAGTCAAAAGCTTGGCTGTAGTGAAAGCCAGTGTTCTCTCTGTGGAGAGTGAGGACACACACAATCATTTTCTGAAGACAAATGATTGTTCTTGGACCTAGAGTGCCATGGTTCCCTGATCTTGTCCCTGTTTCTTCATCTAGAATGCATGCCAAAAGGTACCGTTGCTATAGTCTCGCCCCTCAGCAAGTGTGTTTTGGATAGATGATCTTCTAGAACTCTGACTTGAAAACAGGACAGTAGGGGAATTCTGGTCTCATTGCTCAGAGACTATATTGGGACCTGTAATGCAGGTCTGGGCACTTGGAAGAGCACCCGTCTTTCTCCTTTCAGAATTTATGTTATTCATTTGTAATAGCATGCCATCCTCCCCACTATTTAAACACAATGGGCTCCTTTACCGAACCCAGAGTGCAAATGATATTTGTCCCCTCCTTAAGCAAACAAATAAAATGGAATAACATGTTAAGTGCAAATATGGGCAAGAGGTGTGGTATCCATGGTACCGCTACCCTGCTGTTTGAGGCTGTACCCAGAACAGGTCAGCCATATGCTACATAGGCAGTGTGTCTATTCTGAGCTGAGAATGGAGTCCTGAGAACTCGTCCATCCAATCTGTTCTGTAATTATGGCAGCTGCCTCATGTCCCCATGGAGATGAAGATGCCATACTCTGTGCTGCGTTACTTGCACACTCCTCATGGCCAAACCTGACAGACACAGTTATTCTGTGGTAGGTTCTCAAGCAGCTATCAGCAAAGGTCGCAGGGTTCAGACATCAACATTATATCTCAATCTGTATCTTCACTGACTCAGAGTTGAGAAATCTGTAGCTAAATGGGAGAATGTAATCAATTTCTCTTCCTGTTTTGCATCCTTTCCTACATTTTAGCAGTGAAAAGTTTTGGATTATAATTTTCAAATGATTGATTGACCCACATTACACATAAATCTAAAACACATTTATTATAGATAACTTTTAAGCCATGTCCACATGTCCTCAGATACTTGTGATTATACACTTGAACATCTTTATATACAAGCCTTTAAATTCCAAGCAGATGGCAACATTTCCATAAATATTCTCATATATATATAATATCATATCATAGTAGTAACTTAGGTTTAGTTAATATTTAAAAATATGGATAGCAGTATTCAAAACGTCCTTAATTAAGGTAATAGAATCATTACTTTTCAAATATAACTGCTAATTATTATTTTAGTGCCTATTATGTCCTTGAAACAAATAGACATTTCTTTTAGTTATATATATTTCATTGTTTCTCATTAGTATGAAATAGTCCATTTTGTGGACAAGGTATCTGCATGTTTGTACTAAATTGGTTGAGAAAAATTATTCAAAGAAAATTTATTTAAATACATATCCATATTTTAAAGTATTAACTGAACCTAAATCATTACTATGAGAGACAATGCATATACACTGCTTTATATGCACGATTATATATGTATTGATTAAAAGGACAGTAGTCACATCAATAGCTTAGTGACCTAAAAAGAATAGAATTTTTAAGATTGTTAAAAAAGAAAGGATTTGAATTCAGACGTTATTTTGTCATGCGTTTGCTTTGTGACTCTGCCAATTGCCTCTGTTTTCTTTAGATATCTCCGCCAAGCTACAGAAAGGTCAATTAATAATATCTCAAATTAGATGTGAATCGCAGCCCACAGAGGTGGAAGTCTCCATCTATCTTGCTTCCTTCAGGCTGAAGACAGAGCTAATTGTCACATTCTCCAACCTCCCTCTCCCTAACTGAAAGTTGCCAATAAAACTTTTGATTATTTCCTGGCCTTGTTATTTTTGTTCCATGTCTGTGACCCTGGAGTCATCTGGAATCCTTTTCCCTTTGCCCTCTACATCTTATTGCTGACACTTTAAAGCAAGTATGTAGTTTTGCCTCATTAAAAATAAGAGATTCATTTATTTCCTGCAACTTGCCTCTGGGGACACAAAACTTCAATTTGGCTCTAGAAACATCTTAAAGGCAAACATCCCATCCTCAGAAACGATTTCAAATTCCCTTCAAGTCTTACTACAGCTTGTTTGTCAGAGTGAATTTTCCATAAGTGTTCAGCTGACCTTATAAGCAATGGTCATGTGTCAGTTTGTGTATGTTTAATCTGTGTTGAAGAAATTTATTCATTTTGAAACAGAAACATTAAACACAATATACCACATTGGCACACTGATTTTCTCCCTCTTTTTACTGTTGCTGGAGTCAAGGCTCTGTGAAGACTGAGGGCTGGAAAACAGCTCTGTAAAACCACAGTGAGGCCACTAATATTGACAACCCTGGATCACTCTGGAAACTGAGCACCTGTTCTCCTTATTTACAACAATAACAAATGCCAGCCTCTGGACAGGTCAAACAGGTTTTGAGACTTTGCTAAAGACAATTATCTGAGATGAAGACTTTAGCTGTCTTTGGAATAATGTCTTAGTCAGGTACTGGGGCTTCGGATATTATGAAAGCTTGCTGGCGAGTATTAGTGTAGGAAATGTTAGAAGTGGGGAAATCTCAACTATGATATATTACTACATATTGTATCTACACTTTCACTTGCAATGAACATAAAGACCGTAAACAACAAATCTAAGATGCTACCAAGATTGCCACCAAACAAAGACACTTTGGTAAACACACATGCTCGTGCACACACGCGCACATGCATGCACACAGGCAGGAACATCTATCTTGTGGCTGAAAGATATTAGACTATCTTTCAGCCACGTGGTTAAAAGCTTATTGAGCCTATAACAATGAAGTAAATTATAAAACAAAATATATTTTTTAGTTGTATGTATATTTCATGCAGGGTTTCTTATCAGGGGTTGTTTGATATTCAGTGCCTATCCCTCATTTGGCCCATAATGGGAGCCATGCAATGGATTGATGAGTGCTAATTTTAATTTTTTAACACACATTCTTCGGAGGGTCTACAAGGAAAATATATTACCTTTTATTATCCCAATGACAGCACAATTTAGCTAAGACTTTTATAGCTTTATTCTCTAATACACTGGGCACTAAAAAAGATGTAGTTATGTATAATTTAAATCCAAATGAATAAAGGTAAAATAAAAGTAAAACCTTAGTTCTCAGTTGCATAGCCATGTTTAGATTACTGAAAATCTAAGTCAAGTTAGTGGCCACCATGTTGGAAAGTGATGATATTGACAGCTTCTTCCTTGTACTAAGTTTTACTAAACAACAATGCTCCAGGAAGTAGTATCATCCTCATAAAAATGTTCATCAAGAGAGTTTATGAATCCTGATATACTTGGTTTTACAAATACAGTTACCTTAAATCTCAAAGAATTCTAAGAGAACACAAATTTCTTCATTAACCTATAGGCTTTGTACACTTTGGTAACTCTTTGTGATTCTCTAAGACCTATTTAATGAATTAAAAATTAATTGGAGGGAAAAATCTTATACAAATAGTTGTCATACTTGTATTAAGTATTATTTGACTTTAAATGTCTTAACAAGCAATTTGTTTATCTGTTTATTTTTAGACAAGATCATGCTATGTGCTCTATGTTGGCCTTGAAATTGACAGAGGATTCATCCTGCCTCAGCCACTTGAGAAACCACCTTGGGGGTGGGGTCGAGGCAGGGTTTCTCTGTGTAGCCCTGGCTGTCCCAGAACTTGCTCTGTATATCAGGCTGGCCTAGAACTCACGAGATCTGCCTCCCAAATGTTGGGATTAAAGGTGTGTACCATGACCACCCAGCTTTCCTTTCTTTTCTCTTCTTTCTTTTTATTTTATGTGCATTGGTTTTTGCCTGCATGAGTATCTGTGTGAGCATGTCAGGTCCCTTGGATCAGGAGTTACAGACAGTTGTGAGCTGCCATATGGGCACTGGGAATTGAACATGGGTCCTTTAGAAGAGCAGACAGTGCTCTTAAGTGCTAAGCCATCTCTACAGTGAGAAGCTGCATTTTTAAAAAGCAAACTGTCTAGGTGATTTTAATGCAAGTAGCTAAATAACAGTAAATGGCAAGTTTTAGTCTAAGAATTAAAAATTCCTATGTAAACAGGTAGACAGGTATTTGATTCTTGCTTCCTTTATTGAACACAATGTACTGAGCTTCTTTATGTTATATGTCCTCTTCTAGGCACCAAGCATAACGATACGGAACAGAAGGCTCCAGTGGATTCATGGTTGCGATGTTCTGCACACTTGTTCCTTTACCAATACATCATCTAAATCATTGTTTCCTTTTCAAACTGCATTTTTTTCCTCAAGTTGGATTCTGTTTGTCTTTTTTCTGTACACAAAGTTACTGATAGTAATAGAAGAAATAATAACAGAAGATTTTTAAAAGAAAAAGTGAAGGAGGAAAAGGAGGAAAGGGGATAAAAAGGAAAACAAAAAGAAAGCAGAAGAAAGGAGATTTGGGAGCTGGACGTGTAGAATGGACAGAACTTAGTGGCTGAGTGTGGCACAGGGTGTAACAGGGAAGAGTTTGAGGAGGTAGCTTTTTGCTAGGGTGGTAGAGAATGGGGAGACTCGCTTAAAGAACATGGGAATGCAGATAGAATGGCTCTGGGGGAAGAGGGAAAATGGCTTGGGTCTGGTCACTTAACCTATCTTTCGCTTTTACAACTTCTGACAGGAACATCTAGGAGGAGGCTGTGTGTATAGCCGTGGAGCTTGGAAGATAAGGAAGTAGGATAGCCATGATTCTATGGGAGGGAGGAATAGTGAACAGGGAATCACACCAGGGATCAGAACCATGATCCTCACAGAAGCTCATAGGGCAAGAGTCTGCTATGTGTTCCCAACAAACTGCCATTCTTAAGCTTTTGGGCCATGGCATTTCTAAAGATGCAACTTCTAGAGGATGAAGAATTCTATAGACGTATGAAAACTTGCTTCCAAGCTGATATGGGTCCTGATACATACTCCTGTCCATTTCAAGTATGCTGGGTGAAAAAGGAAGGGAAAACAGGGAAGACCAAGGGGCGAGTGGGAAAATGGAGAAGATCAACTCATGCATGTTCATTCTCCTAACCTAACCTAACAGTACATGTAAACCCTTAAGCGATCAGCCTAGTTCTTTCTATACTCCTGCTTGAAAAATCAGGAAAGCAATACCCCAGATTAGAAGTAATTTACTGACTCTTTCTTCATGGCTCCCCACAGTCAGCATTTGAATTTCTCTCCATTTTGTTTTGAGCTTTCATTCTTTGAGCCTCAAAACCCATGGCTTACTTAACCATGAAAAAAGACCATTTGAACAGCGCAATTATGTTCTCTCATCCACAGGCATTTGGGCAGTGGAGGTTAGTGCGCCTTGTCCTCTTGCACACTTACCCACAGAAGTGATGATGACAGTGAAGTGAGTTTCATCTCGTTTTCCTGTGATGTTGTTGTAAGCACAGCACACGTAGTCAGCTGTCTTCTGGGCCACTTTCTCAGATGCAACTTCTAAACGAGGCCCATGCTTAATGACGTGTGTCGTATTGTCAGATCTTCGGATCCAGGAGTAGGTGTTGGGGGGATAAGAATCAGCAGAACAGTCAAAGAGGACAGCTTCTCCCAGGTCAACAGTGAATACTTCTCCCACTTTCAGCCCCTTATCAGAATTAACCTGAAGTCCATACGGTCCATCTGTATTAAACAAACAAACAAATAAACAAACAAACAAACAAAGATGGTGGGCGTGTGTCACTCAGTCACAACACAGTTTCAGGGTTTAAAGAGCTTGGTCTCAGCTTACTTTCCTTAAAAGTCTTCATGTAGATCTGAGCAAATAAGTCCTTATTTAAAGCCCCCAATTAGTGATGAGATTCCCCCAAAGTGGGAATTACTTGATTGAACATATTTGTAATAGTTAGAGCCTAAAACTTAGTTTGCAGATTTACAGGCACTGCATCGTCAACGTGGGGCTAAGCTTTTCAGTGTCCTGCTGATGAATACACACTGTTGCTAGGCAACTTCAGTCTTTCTGGAATAAAAATTACACTTAAAAATAGTTTTACAACATATACGTACTATTTTCTTCTTAACAACCATACTTTGAGAAGTGCCTGTTTTTCTTCTCAAAGTCAGGTCAATGTAAATATTTACTGAAGAGCCTTTCATAAGGAACAGAGATTTGTGCAAATAGGTATAAAGGTGTTTCATATTTTAACAGATTAAAAAGTCCTTATAAGCTTCAGATTCCTTTTGGAATACACACACACACACACACACATCATTAACAGATATCCACTGAAAAATCAAAAAGCTATTTGACTATGGTTATTTGACCATTTTCCACATTTCCACACCCAAGGCAATCCCTATGGCTTCTTGTAAAGAATAAGAAAAATATTAAAAATATTTCCCAGATACAACATTTCTCCTCTAGTTTAACTCATTTGGGCACGACTAATTCACTTTTCATTTATTAGACACTTGTCATGGGAAGGGAGTCTATGTAACCAGACATATAGCCTACATTTGATCTTGAAAGCAACTCATGAGACAGGTGTCATTATTCTCATTATAATATCTTAAAATTTATTTTCCTATAGTCATATAGCTACATAGTGATTAGACAGCTGTATAGAGACAGAGACATGTAAAGTGACAAGGTTTATGTTACATAATTTTCTATCTCAGAATATCGTTGGCTAACAGTATTATATTTATGATAAATTATTATCTCATTACATAATTATGTAATTAGTCAAACAACCATTTAATCAACAAATTTTTGAGAGATTATAAGTATAAAATAAGTTGTTTTGTATATTTAGGAATGCATATGTATATTTGTGACAACAATTTAAAAAAAAAAGGGCCATGAATTCGATAGAGATCAGAAGGTGCATGGGATAGGTTGGAGGTATGTAAGAGAAAGTGGGTATAATGTAATTATAAATATTATAATATATTTAGTGCATGAAAGACAAACAATTTGCATTGTCAAGGAATTTACAAACAGGATAAAACACTCAGTGCTTTCATTTTGTTTTTAAAAGTTGTAAATAACTTTCTAAATGTGTAACCATGTGATAAAGGAACTAAAATTTAGGGTAACACATTTTTGTCAATCGTGAATTATTCTTTAGAAGTTATTTAAACTTTTTGGACCTCTTCATCTTTTAATAAAAAATATAGGGTAGCTGACTGCCAAAATTATTTATGCATTTGAAATTATGACGGAATTATTTGAAACTATGACAGAATTCTTTGTTACAAAATTCTTTCTGTTTATCCCCAGAGTAACCCTCCACGATATCATCATCTCCTGGTGTGTCTGCCAGTGTGAAGACGAGTTCCATCACAGAAACTGGAGACATCACTTTATATTACATTTAATTATAGAACATGCTTTCTTTCTAAGAACAAGGATGAATGTGAAGCATTGCCACAGCATTACATTACTGTTTACAGGAGTGAACCTTCTATCAGAAAGAAAGCCTGGAAGCAGCTGAGTCAGTCCTTGGTGTCCTGAGCAATGGGTCCAGGACCCACTCAAGATAAGCAAATCTGTAGATGCACAAGTCCCCTACAGAAAATCGTGCAGTATTTGTATATTATTTACATAAGCGCCCCTGTAAATTTTAAACATTCATGGGATTACTTATTATATCAAATGCAATGTATTTTTATGCTTCATTCTCTGGGAGATGATGGTATGAAAAAACATGTATGTTCAGTACATGTACAAGTTTTTTAATATTTCCCATTTGACTTTGTCTGGATCTGCTGACATAAAATGTATAGATGTGGCATGCTGGCTGTCTCTTTACACTTAAAGCAACCAGAAGCTGGAGGTAGATGATGACAACGAGGAAGCCGAGGTGCCCTTTCTGTGAGTGACCTAGGGCTTGTGACACTGAAATCTCGTTTCAGGCTAGGATGCAGTCTCAGAAGCCGCTATGACAAGGAGCTCCAGACAGTGAAGCTTGGCCTCTTTTTCTGAGCTCTGATGAGGAGTGAGCAGTATACCAGGGATGAAAAGTTGCTTTTATTGACTCAGAGAAAAAATCAGGATTGAGGTGTACTTGTATACAATACTGTTCTAGGTACTGTGGACAAATTGGGGTGCTGGGGGAAAAATGGCTCCTGAGACTTGCTTTTGCTCTGTGCTGCAGAAGGGCCTTTTTCCTTCAGGTTGCCAGCACGGATGAGATACCACACAGCAAGCCACGGGGCACTGACTGCGTCACATACAAGGACTGCATGAAAAATGTGATGTGTGACTTGGAACCACAGAAGATCTAAATTTATGTGCACAACCTAAAACTCCAGAGGCATTTAGAGCAGGGCAACACAGATTTGAAAAAGAACAGGAAAGTGATCACAAAATTTGAGTCTTTCAGTCTAGGTCCCCATCTTCCCACTGGACTTCAGGGTTACAAAGCACATCTACAAAAACAAATTGCTGTACAATGGATCTCACACATAAATGGCTATGGTCACATATAAATGACTTTTTCAGAGTGTGCTGATGTTCTTCTTAACTCCCCTTTGGAGCCATCATAGATCTTACAATGTACTTGAATATTCCCATTTCCCTCCTCTTGGAGAGTAGGTTGACTCAATAGAGGAAGTCCTAATTTAGAGCTTGGTGAGTAAGGTCAATAATGTAATAATATAACTAGTTTTAAATAAAACATATGTTGAAAGAAGAGTCTGATTGTGCCGCTTTCTTCTCTCCTCACAGGTCTGTCGACTTTGCTACTAACTGTCTGTGGGCGTTCATGGCTGGCATTGTCTCTTCTCTCTGTCTTATGTATGCCGTGTCTGACTCCCCAGAGTTACTCTCACATTGCTCTGTGCAGCCTCCCTGTCAAGCATTTCTTTCAGATCCTGGACACTAACACTTTGAGGCAGTTGAGTTATTTCTGGTAAGATTTTTTTAAAATTTATACTCTATCAGATTATTTTAAAAAACGCATGTTGCCTGCAAAAATATTACAAACTAGAGAAGCCCAGAAATGAAAAGTTAGCTGTAATTTTCCTAGAGACCCAACATCTGTATAATCATGTCTTTCTCTCATTGCATCTCCCTGTTTTCCAGTCTTCTCTTCCACCTCCTTTATTTCCTACTTCTCCTGTTGCTCCCTCAGCCCCTCTCTCTGGGTCTATGTCTGTGTCTCTGTCTCGGTTTCTTCCTCTTACACACATAAATGCACACAGGTACACAACTTCATCTTACACTGTGCTTAATCCGTATACTTTTTCTTTCTGATTGGACTATGATGTTATTTTCTCTATACCGGTTAGCACTTCAGACATAACATTCTTCCATTTTAAGGTTGAGTAGAGCACATAATTCAAGTGAATGGGCAGCCCTGCAGGAGACATTTGGAGTGGCTCAACTAGAGTCACCTCTGGTACAGATAAAAGTAGATGGATAATCCCATTTGGCTTTGGAGTATGGTTCACCGTCTAGCCTTTGGCAGAACGCTCTCGATGAAAATGAACTCTGCCCTCAGGGATGGCTGTTTACTAAATGACTTGTAAAATCACATATCATCTGTTCTCTTTAACAATTTATGACTGGGTGGGAACTGTACCTAAGTTTCCATCAGATGCTGCTTGCCACCCTGCGAAGGAGCAGATGGGAAGTATTTACTGTAAATGACCTGTTTTCCCTTTCGCTTTTATCGCTTAGAGAAGTCCCTGCAGCCATGCCATGTCTTTCACTCAAGATGTAGTGGTTATTGGGTTATTAGTTACAGTTGGAGCTAGCAGGCATTTACATTTTGGAAACCATAAGTAGCCTTTGCTGAGTTTTTAACTGGGCATTGTATGCTTTCAAGTCTAATACCGGATTATGATATCATAACCCAATGAATATATAACCGATCTTGACAGATTTTTGTTATAATATTTCTAACAATAAAAGATAATTTGCATGAAGATAATGTCATGGAAACAATGACAACAAACTAGATTATTCATGGTGGATTTTTAAATCATTGATATGGATATATAGGGGAGAATATTAAAATATGACAGTCACTCTTCTTGATTTTGCCTGACCACCGAGCCATGGAGACGTATCATCTGAAGCATGATATGAACAAAATAATCTCTTCCATTTTAGTTATGTTAAGCTGGGTTCTAACTGTGTCAAGTGTTGCCCTATAAGATTAAAGGTGCTTAAGAAATGTGGAGTTCCTAGGAAAGTTTGTTGTACTGGTCCTTATGAGTAGAGAAGAGTTTAGGAAGATCTAACTCAGTGAGGATCGGAGGCAGACATGTAAAAGATGCTGTCTTTGCACAGAGGAGATGGGGACAGGCCAGGACAGATGGGTCTTTCAGTAGGAGATAATATTGGGAAAAAAGGAGAGTAATTACACAGAAATGGAGTGCTACCGAATAGCTTCAGACAAGCAAAATATTCCCACTGCACACGGAAAGAGACTACTGCAGACACCTTGATGCCACATCAACAGAAGACCAGCGACAAACCTTTATGCACACTATTTAAACCTTGTTACCCAAAACTAAGAAAATCAAGCAAAACAGAAGCAGGTGATAAAACAAGGCTGAAGTCGTGATTGCAAGAAAAACTACTAACGAGTTTAGGCTGTGTTTCCAGGTCATATGGTAGCCCACTGCCATACCAAGAAAGTCCTGGCGGCATGGCTTTCTTTTGACTCAGAGTGTCTGTTCATATATTCTTTTCACTGTGTTTACATAATTCACATACTTAGGTTTGTGCTACTTGTATCTGAGCTGAAGTTTTCCTTCATGTCATAATAACTTTTTTAGGAACACACACACACACACACAAACACACACATACACACACACACACACACACACACACACACACATAAATGGGCTGCCCCATTTCTGAATCTTCATTACAAATCAACACCAGTTGTACAGTACAGCCAGAGCTTATCCTTTTCCTGTCAGTTGGTTGTCACCTTTGCTTCAAAGGCAGACAGAACATTCTCATTCTCACAGTAGCATCTGAAAAGATTGTTTAAAAAATATAGTTATGAATTCAGCTATAAAAGTAATTTGCCACGATTAAATACAAATCAGGTGCTGTGGATCATGTCTGAAATCTTAGTACATGGGAGACTAACCCAGGAGGTTGCGCGACACTGGAGTCTGGATTTTCTATGAAGTACCAGGCCAGCTTGGGATATAGAATGTGACTATGTCTCTGAAACAAGCGAACAAGCAAACAAAGCAACCTATAATGTAAATGACGTTTTACTTCAGTTCCTGAAAACATACTTTTACTTCCTCTTTGTGTCTATACTCTTGCTGTGTTCTGTGCTTGGGATGGTTTTCCTGACCTGTCCACTTGCTCACCCATACTCATCCACCCAAATATTAATTTATGACAAGAGTGTTTTCTTTAGTAAGAAGCAACATTACCAGACTTTGGATTCATGTGGGATGATACCATTATAATAAAATATTGGCAAACTATTCTCTAGCGCTGACTATGGGCCAGTCAAGTATACCATCACTTTACATACAGTGACAGTTCAGTCCCCACAGTGACTCCATGAAGTAGGTTTCCAAGATCATCATGAGGACACTGATGCACAAAGAGACAAACTTGCTAGCCCAGGACTTGAACCCTGGCCTATGACTCCACAGTTCTTACTCCTCTCTGGTATTCTTCATGCTGCATGTCTCTATGATAGCCATGACATTTTACTCCATACATTTTGTTATGCATGTCCTCTCTCTTCTAAGAAAGCAGGGTCTGTGTCAGTTACTGCTGGTATGCACTGCTGGAGGACAGGGAAGCCTCCGAATACCCAAAGTTTTCCAGGACAGTCCCACAGCACAGTCATCCAGTCTCCAAATGTCACTGTTGTAAGGCGAGGACAAACACCATGTTACTTTAAACTTTGTATACTATAGTAAGCATATTAGAGGGTACATGAGATGATTCAGTGGGCAAGCTGTTGTCTTTCAAGCCTGACGATTTTATTTTCATCCTCCAGGACCTCCATGGTAGAAACAGAAAACTGACTCTTGAAAGTTGTCCTCTGGCTTCCAAAGGCACACTGTGGCATAATACATACCCCAAACACACACACACACACACACACATGCACGCACACACATGCACACACACACATGCACACACACACACCAAGTACATGTGCACCCTAAATAAATACATAAATACATAAATAAACCTAAACATATTAGAGGTACTGTCATGGCTCTGGAGTGACCAGAAAATACTAGAATACGAAAAAGTGCAGGGCTTGCTTGGAGATTGATTCAATCATGATACCAACTGAAGAGTGTGATAAATTTTATAAATTCACGAGAGTCGATGTCAACAATGAAAGCAACTGAAGAGAACAAGAATTCAGAAATTAACTACGATCTGTGGGGAGACACTTAAGATTGCTCTGGCTGGGATGCTTCCTGACCCTTCACTCAGAAATGGCAGGGAAAATCACTTCATGGCCTTTTGCTAAGATCAAGTGTAGAAGTGGTAGAGAGAATACGGGGAAGATCTGTTCTTCGGGGCATATTCCCACACATAACCCAGGAGTGCTCCTTTTTCACACAGTCTGTGAAGAGCACATCCTACTCCAGGGTCCTTGTTACTTTCACTTCTTTCTGGGAAACGGATGACTCAGCACCTCTGTGTGGTACTGGATTCTCCGGATTAAGAATTCCACTACACATGAGATCACACAACGGTCAGAATCACAAATTTCACTTTGAATGCCCACCAATTAATGTTCCAATTTGATTTCAAAAAATAGGGTTGTGTCATGACTTTCAACCATTAAGGTTGTGTGAGTAGATATATTTCTTGACCAAACAATGCCTAGGTCAGTGGTTCTCAACCTTCCTAATGCAGTGACCCTTTAATAGAGTTCCTTATGTTGTGAATCCCAATCATAAAATTATCTTCATTACTACTTCATAACTGTGACTTCACTACTGTTGGGATCACAGTGTAAATACCTGTGTTTTCCAATGGTCTTAGGAAGGGTCATGTTGCAACCCATAGGTTGCAAACCACTGGCCTAGGTAATATGAGTATAGCAAGTTCTATGCCTATGCCTGTGAGAACTTTCCATCAACACGGACATAAGGGAAAATGAAAACAAGTTACTTACAGTATATGGTGGGCACAATGATGTCGCTTTCCACCTTGCTGACAGGATTTGACACGAGGCAGGTGTAGTTTCCAATGTCCTCCTTTGTCACTGGAACAATCCAAAGGGTGTTGTTTTGGGGAGAAAAGGAGTGGCTGGAGTTGATGCAAATGGGCTTCCCATTTTTTCGCCACTGGTAAACCAGCCTGGTACCTCCTTCTACTCGGCAGGAAAAGGTAATGTTGCCCACGTACTCCACAGCTCCAGAAGCAGGATGGGACTGAACCGTTGGCTTTATGACAGGATCTGCAATATCAAGAGACATAGAAATTATTTTTTCCATCTATAGAGCTATAGTAAAACTCTGAGAAGCTTTGCCAATATTGAGTCCTGGGGAAGTGATTCCAACATTTTAATATTTTATAAATGTAGATGGTTTGGGTAACCGTTAAAGAGGCTATGAAAAAGTCACAGAAATTTTAAAATGGTAAAATATGAAATATATTTATTCATGAGGGCTAACCAAATTCTAGAACTTTTTCTTCAAGTATTGCCATTTAACGTACATTTTATATAATGTACTTTTTTACGTAATGTAGTTAGTGGTTGAAATCCCAGAATCCCACTTTTCTATTCATCATACTTTCTCTAACATCAAAGCTCTCCCCATCTTTCTCTTCCTCTCTCTCTGAACCTAAGATCTCATGCACATTAGGCAAGTGCTTATCTACCATGAAGCTACACTCACAGGCAAAACAAATACAGCCATTTCCCTTTCTCGACTTGTAACATATACCAAAACCAGTAAGCAAGAAGAGATGTGACAATTCAAATTTTCATTCACCCTCTAAAAATTAAATTATATAGTTTATGTACAGTATACTTTTGAAAATGTATAGCGACACTTTTGGCGAGTGGCTAGTATACAATTTCTTTGACAAACCGAAGTCTACATTTCGGTCAACACTTGAATCTATTTGACAGCAAGATGTGATATTTTGGGAGTTTTTTTTTTTTAAAGTGAAATATAAAGGACAAATCCAATACAAATTCCCATTAGAAAGTCAAGAAATGAGAAACTAGCTTGATTTTATTAATGTGGCATGCAGTAGGCAAATGGATAAATAAAAAAGAACACAAGCATTTCTTCACTGACTTTTAGCTCTGGGTACATGGATGAGATTGGTGATTACAGCTGGGCAGTGGTCGCACATGCTCACGCTTTAATCCCAGCACAGGTGGATCCCTGTGAGTTTGAGATCAGCCTGATCTACAAAGCTAATTCTAGGACAGCCAGGGCTACACACACACACACACACACACACACACACACACAGTGCAAAACAAACAACAAAAAGTACCTTGTCTCAAAAAGCCGAGAGAGAGAGAGAGAGAGAGAGAGAGAGAGAGAGAGAGAGAGAGAGAGAGAGGTAATTAAGTATGCATTCACTATCAATCCTCAGAATTCTTTACTCTGAGAAAATAGTGTCTTCTGGGCCAGTGAGATGGCTCAGTGGTGAAGGCACCTGCTGTTAAGTCCGAGTTTGATTTCCAGATCCCACATGGTGGAAAAAGTGAAACAAATCCTGCAAGTTGTCTTCTGACTGCTGCATGTGCTCTGCTGTCTGTGCAGGAACACACACACACACACACACACACACACACACACACACACACACACACTTTACATAATACATACATACACACATACATACACACACATGCACATACACACACACACACATACACACACACACACACACACACACACACACATAAATAAACAAGTAGGTAAAAGACCTAGGAAAATAGTTACTTGTTCAGAGTTATACATTCTTCATGGACAAAGAAGAAGAGGCCTTTTCACCTGCCAGTGTTCTTTTCCTGTGTTCTGTAGCTAGAGATATTTGATAGTCTCCATCTATGTAAGCTTACAGAGCATAGGGAGGCTAAGGTAACACACAGGCAATCTATGATTGGATCCACTACTTTAACCTTTGATTTCCCATCAAGCAGCCAGTTGAATAAGATGCTTCTTCACAGGCAAATTTATCCTGTGCTATAATTACATTTTCTAACAACAGGAACTGCACCAGGGCATGAACAAACCTAACTCTCCAGCCCAGGGACGTTAGAAACAAATGAAAGATACGGAAGAATGAGGTTGAATGTGCCTTGGAGGGGAGCTGAGTAACTTGAGGACATCTGGCATTTTCGAGGTGGATGGCATCTCTTGGTTTGTTCATTTAATTCAATCCTTTGTCTTCTCTGGCAAGAGCAAAGGGTTTGCAATAGCAACATGTGTATGTTATTATGTTTGAAAAAAGCAAAGTGAATGGTGTGTACTGGTCATATCAGGAACACATCCCAGGCATCTCCGTGTGGGAATGTATATGGTCTGAGATAACTAGGCAACAAGGTCTTGTAAGAGGAAAGCCAATCATGGGACTAGTCATCCATATGCTTGCCTGAAACAATGTAACCAAGACTTGACATTTCCTTTTTGAGGTTTTTGCTTAAATCTTTAAATCTTTTACTACATTTGGGGTGGGGGATTCATTTCCCTAAACAAATCTAAAATTATAATACACATGTAAGGGCTGTTCTTTTATAAATTGTAAAATAAATTTGTTGCAGGAGAACTTTATGAAAATTCCTGTTATGTATTTCTTCACTTTCCCCACAATTGTTTTGCAGGCATTGGCTCTTGAGCTGCTGTCTTAGTCCTGTGCAGCCTCTTCTGTCTCTCACCTGCCTCCTTACTCCAGGGGGGGGGGGTTACTGAGTCTGCTATGGTCAGCACAGTTCTGACATGGAGAAGAAAGAAGCAAGAACACAGATAATGTCTCTCCTCCCAGAGACCTCATGTTCTAGTCATGGAAGAGAGAGAGAAAAAAAAATTAAATAGAGATACTATTAGCAGGAGACGGCAAGTTCAGTGAACAAAGAGAAAAGCAGAATTGAAGACAGTGAATAGTGTGTGTGTGTGTGTGTGTGTGTGTGTGTGAGAGAGAGAGAGAGAGAGAGAGAGAGAGAGAGAGAGAGAGAGAGAGAGAGACTCAGGTGATATTTTTGTATGCACTATAGAGTGTCCAGGGAAGACTTCACAGACATGACAATTGAGATGATGCCTAAAAGAAATAAAGGAAATGATAATTGGGATATTTGTCCAGATAGAGTAAAGAGTGAGAACAAAGGCCCTGAGTTATGAGTGCATTTGTCCTGTTCAAGGAAAGCAAGGGGCCAGTGTGGCCCAGGCAGAATATAGTGGACAGAGACCAAGAGTGGGTCAGATAGGTTCTGGGTATGCTGGGCCTTTGAATGTTATTGTTAGCATTTCGACTCCCATTTTGAGTGAGATAAGAAGCTGTTTGCTGGAGGATGCAGGAGCAGAGAGACTAGAGAGGAAGTTATGATAGCAGTTTAGATACAGTTAGAGGTGCGAGCAAGACCGTGGTAAAGGGCAGGTGAGAGCAGCTGGAGTCTATTTCTAAGGTCAGCCAATGAGGTTTTCCAGCAGAATGTGAAGGCAGAATGAATGGTCAGTGATGTATGCAAAGCCTTGGCCTGAGGAAGTAATAGAATCAATATAATATTTACTAAAATAAATATATTGACAAATAATACACAGAAAAATAAGAAGTGCATAGTATATACAAGGTGTGCCACTTATAAATCTTAGTAAGAAAAAAACAAGTTCCTGGAAGTTAGCTCACTCCTTTTGCCCTCAGAGAACATTCCACAAACTTCTTTTATCCTTACATAAAGTCCTTGGCTCATCTTCCCTTAAATATTGTACCAAATACAAATCTTCACGTGATTAAAAATAGAGTCCTTCCTCCTAAGATATAGCCTACAAGTGAGAAAATAAAAATGTCCTCATCTTACTCTTTTGCAACTTTATATAGGTTGTAAGAAAACAGTGTTTTACTTAATGCATGAAGATATGATGCTATAGACTGGGCACCTTCCTTATACACATATGTAATTAGATGTCAGAAAGCCGTACCAGGCAGGTAATGACATTATGGAGGCTTTGAGAATTAATTAATTCACTCACAGTTGCAAGAGCCAGGACCTGAAAGCTCTGGAAGCTAGGTACCCTGAGCCTTCCGACCTAGCCTCCTATACACTGTCACAGAAGACTCACCATCAACAGTGACTTGTATCTTCTGGCTTGCGGATAGAGTTCCATTTCCCTGGATGTTGACCTTCACAATGTAATTACCCTCATCCGTGAACTGCAGCGGATTGATGAGCAGAGACGCGTTGGGTGGCATCATGGTGAACTTGTGCTGGTATTCCAAGTCGGGAACCACAGACTTATTTACTGAACCTAGCAAGTATTTGGGCATTGTGTGGGATCTTTCAAACAGCCATATGATCTGGATGTCAGATGCTGGAGTGTGGTAGTCATAGTGCACTGGGAGGTAGAGGGCCTGTCCCCTGATGCCATGGACAGTGTGTGACGGCACGGTCACCTTCAGTCCCAGACAAGAACCTGCTACAACAGGAAAGAAAACTGTGAGTGCCCCGAGCCACATCTCCTAATACAAAGGTTCAGTTGCAGAGAGAACTCAGTCAGATGGTAATCCCTTTCAGAGAAGAAGGATTCTAAGTACTGACTTATTCTAGTGCCAGTTACAGGTAGAGGTAAATATTTGTCTCTGAAACCTTCTGCATTTGAAAGACTCCACCCACTGACTATGCATGACTTCTCTAAAGGCAAGGCAAAAAGGAGAAGCAGAAATGATTGTCTACTATCATTACAGAGTAACAGAAAAAGAAGAACTGAGAAATATTATGAGCTCAAAAGTCCAGCAGAACCATTAAACACATTTGAACTTAGACCATGTCAATGTCATATCCTGGCGAAACTATGCAGTTCCTGAAATATTAACGGATTACTTCTTTGTAAGAAATTTCTGCAAAGCCTTCTGAAATAGCTTAATATTCCAATTTTGGAAGTTACCTCTTCTGTAGTCAAAGTCATACTAATTACAAGTAACCTAGTAAAAGTGAGAGGAAACTATATACTCAGTTAAAACCAGACAGCCCTTGTCCACAAAGGACTCTGATTGGTGTTTGAGGGACAGCAAGGGGTGGATCAAATGTGACAGAGTAGGTGAGGAGAGGCACAGAGCTACAGGAAGCTATTGATAGCCAGGACACACGGGGGAGGACTTTAAATCCACAGGAATCTTGGACAGTTTTACTCTATGTACAATGAAAATGGAACCGGAGTTTGCTATCAGAGGAGGGCCACGACTGTTCTAATGATTTATCTGTCTCACACTAGCTAGGAGGAGAATAGACTTAACAAAGAGAAAAGCAGGAACACTGAGGTGTCTTAGGGAGTGACCACAACAAAGCTGGCAAGAGATGGGGGTGTGCTGAGCCAGGGTGCAAGAGATGGGGGTGTGCTGAGCCAGAGTGTAAGAGATGGGAGAGGGGTGTGCCGAGCCATGGTGGAAGAGATGGGGGAGGGGTGTGCTGAGCCATGTGAGCAAAGCCTGGTGCTACCTAACACATCGGCTACTGCACTGCAGGCCACGATACACACTTACAATGGGGAATAAAGACTCCCTTCATGTTCTTGACTGAAGTCATCTGGAATTCTAGATCTGAATTGAGGAACTAAATCTTGGGGCAGAGACAGAGACCGACCTGTTTTGGTTGTGGTGTGAGGAAATCAAAAGTCAATTTAGGGTGTATTCATCTTGAGGTGCTCATTAGACACCCAAAAGGCAACGCTGTATGGATATAGTGATCATGCTCTCATTATTAAACACACTAACGTTGGTTTAGGATACAACTAGAGACCTGGAGAGAAGTGAGGCCTGGAGCGCTTCCTCATGTTCAGTCTTAGTGCCCGTGTTGTTTGGACCCATGAACTCACTGCTATGGCTGTATCTTATGCTTACGTGCTGCTTATTAGCTCTGGGTCCTGTAGATGTCATAAGATAGTATATTACCATTTGCAATGAAAACAATCCTTTCAGGATACTCTTCGTTTCTTTTTATAAGTGGGTGGTGTTGATATGAAATCACCATCAGAGGAACATTTGGAATAATAGGATAATGTGTGGAATTTAAATGTAGACTATTTTGAACACCAAGGGAAAACACAATGGCACAGAACCAGTGAGATAAACTAATGAGCAGAGGTGCCTGGCCTCCGAGCCTCACTGGCCTCCGAGCCTCACAACCTGACTTCAATCCCCAGCACTCACATGGAACAGAGAACTAACTCCTACTTCATGGTGTTCTCTGACTCACTCTCACGACTCACTCTCACACTGTAGGTAGCACACACACACACACTCACACACACACCACACACACCAGACATACACAGAGAGAGAGAGAGAGAGAGGCAGGCACACAAACACAGACACACACACACACACACACACAAACAATTATTTTTAAAATGATTTTTAAAAAAGAATGGCCCAGCATGTTAAAATGGTAAGCATAGATGCTTTGAGTAACCTTGTAAAGGACATGAGAAAAGAGGGGTGGGGGCTGGGCTGGACTGTAGACTAGGGAATTAAGTTTGTAACACTGAAGACTCCGTCAGAAAAGGAAGTGATGGAGCAGAGAGTGACAGCCACAGGTGGAACAAAGCTGAGAGAAGAGGGTAATCAGACCAACCCAAAGGGTCTTTCATGCCAGTTTTCCTATGCACATCAAATGGTCATCCTATTCAACTGCTTTCTCTTTCCACTGTTTCCAGGAAAAGTGGGGGTTTTATATGGGAGGCAGCTGGAACAAAGAAGGAGAAGGCACAAAGGTCTGTCTACCTTTCATGGTGATTTCCAGGGAGAAGTTCAAGCATGTTACCCCTATCCCGTGAGGAATCAAGTTCTACCAACAGTAAGCTTGCTCGCGCTCTCTCTCTCTCTCTCTCTCTCTCTCTCTCTCTCTCTCTCTCTCTC